GACCATTCTTAGTGGGGGGCTAGTCTGTGCTCACCTGACCTCTGTCCAGGGGGACCCAGCCAGTGGTGACCCCCATAGATTAGACATATGATATGATATTAATATACCACCAAGTGTTGTCACTCACCAGAACACAGAGCAGCAACGCACTCAAACATGCCTGACCTCATATGAATGTGACAAGATTAAGAGAAGAAAAGGTACCACAGGTTAATCAGGGCAACACCCTTAATGCAGAGGTTGGAAATCTCAAAGGGGAAAAGACACACTGCAGTCAAAGAGCACATATGGGGTCTCCCCATACATGTGATCCTGACCCATGCAGATGTGGTGAGACCCACACAGTCCCCGCACCCTATACCTGGGGTCACACATCCACACTCACCAGGGTGACCCACCTCCCCAGACCCCTCCACCTGAGTCACATGTCCACAGTCCCAGAGTGAATCGCTCTCCCCAGACTCCCCCACCTGGGGTCACAGGTCCACATTCACCAGGTGACTCCACCTCCCCAGACCCTGCACCTGGGGATCACACCTCCCCTTGGTCAGGACACCATGGCTCTGCTGGTGGCTCCCCTAATGTGGAAACAAACTGGGCTCCTGGGACCTCCTGGGATGGCAAAAGAAGTGTCAGGTGGGTCTCCTCTGCCCACGCTTGTCCCAGAGAAGTCCTCCTCTTTTCCCTTTGGTTCTGTTGATTTTACCTGTGTTTAAAGCTTTCATGCTAGAGGTGAACACACTGCTTGGTTCTGGCAGGCTCAGTCCTTTCTTGTCTCACTTACATGTTGAGAAAACTCACAGGAGAGCAGGGCTGAAAGCCGAGGGGCAGCTCTGGATGCTTCTGAGTAGGGACGGGAGACTGGAAGGAGAGCTCAGCAGCAGCCTCAGCTGTTACCCATCGGCCTTTTGCCCGATCTGCCTGCCCTGCAATCAATTCACCAGCTAAACCTGCCTCCCTACGCACCATGCACGTGCTGGTGAACTGGAATAATCGGCAGGTAGCTCCCCTGCGGATTCTCCACAAGCCCCAGGGAAGGTGAACCTTGCAGGGATTAAGACTAAGGCCCCGACCATAGCACTGACACTTGGGAGGACCAGGTAACCACACTCAGAAGAGAGGCTGTTACTTAGACAAGCCCACCTCAGCTCCAGACCCCAGACATCTAAGCACTGACCTTCGGGTGCAGGCACAGAGCTTCCCAGTACTGAGGCCAGGCCGGGTCTCTACCCAGGTCCCCATAGTCCTAGCGTACACAGAACATGGTCAGGTCTAAATCTTCTTATTATAGACAACACATGGTCAGCTCTAAACATAATCAGTAGACAGGACAGGCAGAGGTCTAAATCTACCGTGTAGACAGAGCTTGATCACGTTTAAACTAGCTTAGGGCTGATCTCATAGGAGGTACAGATCACACACACGGGTCTCTCATCTTTGGACACCCACATCAGGAAACTGAACAAAATCTTTGTCATTAAACATTTCAACAAGCAAAACAGACATGTTACCAATTTCTCTGGCCACCTGATGGTCAGGGTCCACGGGTGAGCCACGAACTTCTTAGAGTGCGGCTCAGTCTGCTGCCAGGACAGACAAGAAGGGGCCTTATTCCAGCCTCCCAGGCTTCCAGAAGGAGGCGGCCGCACTGGAAGCCCAGGCAGGACAGTCCTGCATGGTCCGGGCCGGGAGATCCGGTCTGTCCATTCTGCTGGCCGATTCCGGGCGGGGCGCTCAGGGCCGCTGAGAGCCCTGCACTCAGGTCCTGCTTCCCTGCAGCGTGTGCGTGTACGTGTGTGTGTGTGTGTAGAGGGGGCGGTGGCTGACGGCTCCTATGGCTCCCGTCCCAGGCACCGCGCTGTCTTCGAGGGGAGGCACGGGGAGAGGTAGGGGCACAGAAGCCATTGGAGAGGAGAACCCACCGCGGAACTCCTTGCACACTGGCTCGCCCCACCCGGGGACCCGCCTGCCCAACGTGGGCCGCATGTCATTCCCCAGCCCCCAGCCCCCACCCCCGAGGGCAGGGCACCTGCTCTTTCAAAAGCACAAGGTCTCACATGAAGGAGACCCAGTGGGGGCGGTCATCCCCCACTCCTGATGCTGAGTTTGGGAGAATGAACCTCCTTGACTGGGCGATGGGACCCTGTGAGGAAAGAGGTGGCGGCCCCATCCAAGTCGGGGCCTGGCTGAGAGATGGGAACACAGGAGCCAAGTACAGGGACTGGAGGCCAGGCCAACAGGAGGGGCACCCCAGGCCCTGGCCAGGCTCTCGCATTGTGACATTGTAGATTTAGGGGACCTGGGGCAGGTGACTGAATGTGATGGGGGTCTAAACTGCACCCTGAATGGGGCTTAAAGAAGGTGTGAAGGATGTTACTGACATAGTGACAGTCATTGGAAGAGAGACTCTGTGTCAGGACATCCTGCTCCATCCATTTAAATCCCTGAGATCTGTGACCTTTACGTGGCTCCGCAGGATCGTTAGAGCAGGTGCGTGCGGACATATCTCGGGCACAATTCAGTCTGCAACCAACTTGCAAGTGGTTCCAGAAAACACACAGTGTGCGCACAGGCAAGCACAGCACAAACATATGCAGGTGCACAGCACAAATATATTCACACACTAGCATGTGAACACACACGCACGCATATGCCCATGCACACACTAACGTGTGCAAGTGCACATACCTATGCACACGCACAGCACATGTATGCAAACAGGCACATGCACACGCATAGCGCACACACAGGGAATAAAGTGAATTCGTAAAGCCTTAATTCCTGAACACAAGTGAGGCTGACATGTATTCTTCCCTTTTTCTTAGCTTTGATGTTTTTCACAATAAAAAGTTTAAGAAAAAGGTTAATGGCAAATGACTTTTGATTCACAGGACTTTCCGACGTTACTCCGCAAATATTATAAGACATGAGAAATGAACGTAGATATTACATGTGTCCATTAACGGGACAAATGGAGAAGCAAAACATGGTCCATCCATAAAAGGGAATGTTATTCAGCCTAAAAAGGAAGGCAATTCTGACACAGGCTGCAGCAGGGATGAACCTTGAGGGCATTATGCTCAGTGATGTAAGCGAGACACAAAAAAACAAACAGTGCTTGATCTACTCATACAAGGCCCCTAGAGCAGTCGGAAACAGAGACAGAAAGCAGGGTGGTGGGTGCCAGGGGCTGAGGGAGGGACAATGGGGAGTGAGTGTTTAACGAGGGCTGTTTCAGTTTTGCAAGATGAGAAAGTTCTGGAGGAGGATGGCGGTCAGGGTTGCACAACAGTGAGAATTACTTCATGACCCTGAAATGTGCACTTAAAAATGGTTAAGACAGTAAATTTTATGTTACGTGTATTTGACCACAATTTTTAGAACTTTTTAAAAAACAACAGGAAGTAGTCCATGAATGCGACAAGATGAACAACTTCACTAACAACCGAGGGGTTAAAACCATGAGAAAACGACGGTGCACACACCTACCGGAATGGCAGACATGAAGACACAGGATCAAATCTCAGCAGGACGTGGAGCAACGGAAAGCCTGGTGCACAGCGGGCGGTGCAACCACTTGTGAAACAATCTGGCCTCAGAGAGCGCACTCCGTGCACACAGACCCACAGTGTTCCTCCCAGCTGAACACAAACCCCCCAGCCCTGCACCAGGACACACGGACATGGACTCCGCAGCCACAGGAGCCAAACCTGAAAGAAACCGAAGGCCATCACAGGTGGATGCAGAAATGAACCATGCACGCTCCTAGGAAGGAATATTCCACAGCAATGGAGTACATTGTGTTTAAAGGGAGTAAAACTATAAAAGTTATTTTTTAAAAAACTATATTCACAAGATGAAAGAATCTCATGGCCACAATGCTGAGCCATCAAGAGCAATAAAGCAGCAAGCACGGTACACCCACTTATGGACATTGGAACTAGGCAAAGCTGGGCTGCGTTGTTTAGGGATGCGTGCTTGGGCATAAGCTATGAGGACAAGTCACTGACACAACATCAGGAGAGCAGCCACCTCACGGCGGGGAGGAGGCTGGGACGAGGGAAGGGCACTCCTTGGTGTCCACTCATCAGGTTCTGATTCTTGATCTTTATGATTATTTTTTACATGTATATAACCTAATCCTTAATATGTACTTACAGCTTATCATTATTCTTTATTAAAAAGGTGGTCTCCCCAACAAAGTAGGACACCTGCTTCTCCCAGGGAAGAAAAGGAATAGTTTCTACCAGTGAGGTATAGATACCATGGCTGCTTCAACCATCAAGCCTGACAGCAACTCCCGTGAGAGGGGCACCGGGGCCACGACACTCAGGAGGCTCTGGGGCCTCAGTCCTGGGTCACTGCCTCTGCGGAGCCCACGGCACCTGGTGAAAGTTCTCAGTCATTCTGTGCACGACCCTTTTGCCTTGGTTGCTCTGGCACAGCTCGGCCGGCACCATCGCTGGGAGAGAAAGAAGAAACGTGCAGAAGAGGGAACCGGGCTTCAAGCTGACCCACCTCCTACGGAGACGATGCCACAGTCCCTAAGAGAGGACAGCAAGGCCACAGAGTTATTTGTAGTGAGGTGGATGGACCTAAAGTCTGTCATACAGAGTGAAGTAAGTCTGAAAGAGAAAAACAAATACCATATGCTAACACACATATATGGAATCTAAAAAAAGAAAAAAAAAACGGTTCTGAAGAACCTAGGGGCAGGACAGGAATAAAGATGCAGACGTAGAAAATGGACTTGAGGACACGGGGAGGGGAAAGGGTAAGCTGGGATGAAGTGGGAGAGTGGCATGGACTTATATATATATACATACTGCCAAATGTAAAATAGATAGCTAGTGGGAAGCAGCCGCACAGCACAGGGAGATCAGCTCGGTGCTTTGTGACCTCCTAGAGGGGTGGGATAGGGAGAGTGGGAGGGAGACGCAAGAGGGAGGGGATATGGGGATGTATGTATATGTACAGCTGATTCACTTTGTTATACGGCAGAAACTAACACAACACTGTGAAGCAATTATACCCCAACAAAGATGTTAAATAAAAAATAAAATAAAATAAAAAAGACTAGTGTCTGTTATTCATCAGGAATTCCTCAGCTCACATTCACTGAAAGTGCACCGAAATGTAGATGCAAGAAGGAAGGGAAGGATTAACATTCACAGGACTCCCTCTGAATGCCAGAGTAACTGATAGGCATTTCTACCTAACTTTCTGATGGAATTTCAGTGAATGCGACATTCAGCCTCCTGATCTCCATGTCCCACCTTGGGAAATATGCTCTCCAGAGTGTCCTAGTTTATGCTAGGTGGGAATGGAGCCCACATCACTCTCATCCCACAGACCACAGCCACCCCAGAAGGAGACAGACAGTGCTGGTTGGAAGGGGCCCTCTATTACCCTGAACCCACTTTGGGTTTAGAGAAGAAGAGATTAAATAGAGGAAGCGGAAAACCCCAGTGTTCAAGAGCACTGATTTGGAGAAATGTCATGAAGCTGCCCCGAAAGAAGCCCATGAAAATTTTTGTTATTACTGGGACCAGTGAACTCAGGTCAAGACCCAGCTGCTGACTCAGGTCTCTCTCCGGGCCAAAGTCTCAGGCTCATTTTGCTCTCTTAGAGTTTACAAAATATTAGAGGGCACCAACAAGTGGTTTTTCAAGATTTATTTCGGAGCGCTGATCAGCGACCTATCAAAGAGACCTGATGTGAGAACATCGATGCCTCTCGACCGCCCCTGATGTACGGAAACCCGCCGTCATCTCCCGCAGACTTCAAGAACATGATATTCATCTTTGCCATCTTATTACTGATTTCATCATATATATTGATATTACTTCTACATTACCAATGGTTGTACAGGGGTCGGGAGGCTGGTTTATAATTTATTTGTCACCTACGACACTTCCTTAACTCTGGAGGTCTTGACATTTTTAACATTGGTGGCCACACCAAAGAGGAGTGCAGCTATGAAGGCATAAATGCGACCAAAGACCAGCTTCAAATATAGGATCGAGGCTTGGCTTGTTTCTACCGAGCGAATTCTCCTTGAACTGGGTCCGCTGTCCATGCTCCCTCCAGGACCTCTCTTTAAGCACAGGGGAGGCTCCCAGCCTACACGGCAATGGTAATTCCTCCTATTGTTGCAAACTCCTCTATGACTGCGTTTCTTAGGGGGACAGTCATAAGTTATTGCACCTATACGAGCACTGCAGGTGCTATTGAGACAGAACCTCTCAGGAGCGCAGGGGGTACCACTTCTCACATGACCAACATCAGTTGTTTCTGGGGAACAGTGACGGCCTACTCCCCAACACCAGACCCCTGAGATCTCTGACTGATGGAATGAAACATGTTCCTGCAACCGGGGAACAGGAGTGACATTGCTACACTGCAGCCTTCCACATTTTATGTCTGCTTCTCCACAAGCAGCATGGTTCAACACCCTATCATTTCTTGTACAGTGTCCAAATCGATTGGCTTTTCGATTTATTGTATAGCAGACATCATGAGCGTTAGTAGCGTGTCTTCCAAAGATTTCTCTGCAGTGCATGGCGCGGTCAGTGCAGTTTCCATGATAGCAGTAGCCTTCTTCAGTACAGGGCGTTCCATCCTGCATATAAAAGTCTTCCGGGCATTGACTGGTTGTTCCAAAACAGTACTCTGGAAGATCACATGTATTTTGGATTGGTCTGCAGAGTGTCCCAGGTTCAGAGTAGATACAGTCTGTACAGCATAGTCCTTCATTACAAGTAGCCCCTTCCACCAACATACAGTCATACTCGCAGCATTTGTTGCTATAACACTGCTTGAAGGAGCCACGGTCACACTGCTCCCAATCCTCTACTATATAGTTTCCACAACGCGTCTTTATCAGGCTTTCATTAAAATAGCTCACCGTCGTGTTAACTATACAACTGCCCCGTATCACTACTATGTTCCACCAGTGCCCGATGGAACAGTCACTGAAGGCATCTGTCAAGCCTGGGTATTTTGCCATAAGGCAGGTGGTCCTTCGCATGCAATAGCAGTTATCACCGTCATACCACAGACCAAAACTTCTCCCAATGAGTTGGGTTGACACGATAGCTAATATTAAATAATGTCTGCCTAGATAACCAACGAAGAGCAGGCTACGATCAGTGTTACACACGGTATAAGTCTCTGGCTCAAACTGGCCTGGCCGTGGTCCATCACGGATTACCATCAAGGATGAAGTGCTTTCTATGACTAGTCTGAAATTCTTTGCGTGATAACGAGCGTATGCACCACCTGGTACTCTATAGTCATTCATGACAGTTGGATCTCTTTCATTAAATAGTGCCACTGCGACTAGATAGAACCTGACAGCAAGACCTTGTTGAAAGGAGTCCACTATACTACACATATGTACCAGGATTTCCACACACTTAGACACATTGTTGTATACACGATACATTGAATTAGAATATTGAACAAATCCTTTCATAATTCCCTTATGTGCTGCAAACACCCTAGCACCACTCCTGGGGGCTACACTGACATCTGCTTCAGGGAACAGTGGGTGCCTATCCTCCTTGTGTCCCGGTCCATATGCAGGTCCTGTTGCACTGGCATCTGCCACTATCTGAGAAACCACATGTTCAAACCTTTCCGAATCCTTGAGGGGTTTGATTTCATACGCAAGGTCATCCAACTTCATAATACCTTCAAGACCCCCATAGCACGTGTCCATGGTGACCATGGAAAAAGGAATCTCCTCCAGGTAGCCGAGGTAGTATCAATCTGAAGGGATGAAGGGGTAGTCCATCTGCGAGGCTCCTTGGTCATCCTGAGTCATCAGCAGCAGGTGTCCGGGCCAAAATAACTTCTTGCGCCGCATGTGGATAACGTGCCTCTGGCCCCCAAAACGCAGGCTGTAGGAGAGCCAGCCTGGCGTCTAACACCCTTGCCTCAGTGCAACTCCTTCCTGGGTATCACCAACTCCGAAGAGATGTAGCGCCATGAGGGACGGCCTTGAGAGCACCGGACTGGAGCCAGTACTGCCCAGAGTCCAAGCCGCAAGACGGCTGCCCCCAGAGTGACCTGGCCCTTTGCCAGCCTTGGGGCTCTGCTCAGGGACACCTGCCAATGAGTTAAAAGCAGGATCCCAGAGGAGCCAGGTCTACACCATCTGCTGTGGCCACTTCCTAAAAAGGAGACAGTGACAGAGCAAAAGAGGTCACTGGGTGGGTCTCCTAATGGGATTAGGTAACAGTCCCAGGGCGTGGCAGTGGATAGGTCTGGATATGAACTCAGCCAGGGCTGAGGTGGGAGAGCGGAGGACCATGTCCATGAGTGCTACCGTGGAACTGAGGGCATACGGGGTCAGCATCGTTCCTCAATGCTCTGTAAAACCCTTCAGAGGCCACCATCTGGTGCTCCCTTATTTATCAGATTTTATTTTCCTTGCCCCAGCGGGTGAGGAGAGACCCTGCTCCTGACCACGAGAGCCCCAGGGGTGCGCCCTCTAGTCCTTCTCTGTGGTTCTTTCCTGGACGGCGGTAGGTTCCTCCTGCGCATGTGCTGATCCCTTCTCTCTGTTGGTTCCCAATGTGAGAGAACAAATATTTCACTCTTGTGAAATTTTGTACTTGTTTTGAGGGGAGGAAAAAAATCTAGTTATCAGGTCATGATCAGAAGAAAAATTTCATTGTCCTCCAGACTACGAATATTTCCCTTTCAATTTACAAACATAGTCCTGCCGTTTACACCGGATGTGATCGGGGATGGACTTCCAAGGTAGGACATTTACTCCTTGCCTTCTGCCTGCTGTTCTGTATTCCTCCCCATCCCAGCTGGGCCTGCTCATCCCTGATGGATCTAACACACCGGCTAATTTTCCCCTCTGAGAGGGCGAGAGTTAGACGCTCGTTCACTTCCACATTAGGGCTTTCGCAGAGCACAGGGTGAGGACAATTGACGCATAGAAATCTAATGATGTTTCCCTTACCCCCGTGCAGTCCCAGGGCTTCAGCCTACGAGCTCCCAGTTCTGCTTTCTCAAACGAATTCCCACTGACCTTCTGAATGTTAATTCTACTCTTTAATTAATTTATACCCTGTACAAGATGATGTACTCTTTTCCCTCTCTTCACCATTTAATTATGCTAACACATACGGCTTTTACCTTTTTGCTTCTCATTTCTTTTTTCTTCTCCCATCTTCTAACTGGGCCTGTTTTCATTTTACTGTAAAATTATATCTCACAATCTCCTTTGGTGCCCGTTAGCTGACAATGGACTCTAGCTTGTTTTTTCATACCATGTCTTCCATGAAAGTACTTTCGTCAGCATGGAATGCTTTCTGAAGGCCCAGTTGCATAGGTACAGTACTACAGACTTGCACTAATTCCCCCCTCAGAATCCGGAGGCCACAAGCCCTTCTGTCTGCCTACACATCATGACGAGAAGTCTGACTTAACTGCGTATCTTAAACCACTTGAAGAGAATCAGACTTTTCCTTCAGAAATGGGATGATGGGATGAGGCCATGTGCCTGTGTGACTCAGGATTTTTCTCTCTTCCCAGGTACCCAGGCTGAGAACCACATTGTACAAAGGCATGAGGGAGAGGTGGTCTCCATGGAGAGGCTCGGCCTCACCTGTGTCGTCCACATGTTCCCAATTTCAGAATATCCCCTGTGGAGGATCCACATTCACCCAGGGAAGGGGCTGGAGCGGCTGCTGTGGCCTGGGCTCAGGGGCACACTCAGGACAGCATGACCTCCAGTCCTGAGTCAGCATCTCCATGGACACAACCAAGAAGCAAGTGTTCTCACAGCTGTGCAGCTCCAAGGCCAGGAGTGCAGGCAGGCACAGCTGTGCCTGAGACACTGCAGTCCGAGTGCGTGGTGAGCCAGACACAAGCCTCCTCGCAGGGGCAGGTGTGGGGGCTGCGGGTAACAGTCAGGGTCTCCCAGGAGATCTCAGGGCCTAGAGGGAGGTCAGCGCTGCCGACGCAAGGCTGATCACAGGAGCAGGCGCAGATGGAGGTTCAGGGCTGCTCCCTGCCGGGGTCTGGGGCTTCCTCTCCTTAGAGCAGTCTCCCCCAGCCCATCTCTGCCTCGTGATTCTATGCTTAACTCTAAAACCTCTGAATTAGGAAGATGTGCTGCCATAGGAGGAAAACACTCCCATGCACAGAAGGCGGAGTCCCTTACGACTGTTTACTCCTGTCCATAAATACCAGTTAATTCTCAAACCTTCTGAAGTAAGTTGGCTAAATCCATACAAGAGGCTCTGCTGCAGTCAACAAGGCAGCACTACGCGGCACAGCTCAGAGCACAACCAGCCAGCGAGCAGCACCTCAAAGTGCATGATGGGTATCGGGCGGCACCGGCATCGCACACCCAGAGCAAGAGGAGGCAGGCCCTGGTGGTGGTGGTTATTGGCTTGACACCACGCTCACAGCACCAACAGTATTAACAATGGACATCAAGGCAATGCATGGTGACACCCGTCCCCCACCAAAGCTCCACACAGAAGTTCAGTCTGATGATGCCACAGGCACACAGGAAAGGAATTTGAAAAATGTATCACCTCCATTATTGAGGTGTCTGTTGAGAGCAGGGCAGACCTCTCAAGAACATCAGAAATGGTTTGAGAGCACCAGCAATGGAGACGGATTAGGGTTTTCAATGTGGTTCCTGGGTGTGGGAGGGTTAAGTGTTGTGCTCACAGGCGGGGCTCACGTGGTTTTGATCTCCCACCTGCATCGAAGGAGGGAGAAGCTGTGCTTCTTACCAAATTTCCCAGCAGTGGGCAGAGGAAGAAGAGAGGAGTGAACTTTAAGGTGTCAGCTCTCAAACATCAGAAGAGAGAGTAGGATTATTTCTTCCACTTAACACCTGCAAAAACTAACTGAAAAGCAAGGAGAAAAGGGCTGTTATGGATAGAAAACAATCTGAGTCCTTAGAA